GATCCATTTGCAGAATCTACGGTAAGGATAAAATACTTTAATTTTTGTTAAATTTCGAGATCTTTTATGTTTGAATCGAGATTTAAGTTACAAAACGCTATTTATCTTTTTGGAATAAGAACAGTAACAAACAGGCTTAGTGATTGAAAACTATACGCAAGAAGATGAAAATATAGTTGAATTATAACGAATCCAAGATTTGATATTCTAAATTGTTATAATATCAAATTTAATCTATTCTATCCTTTTTGATTTGATAGTGTTTATATTGAAGCTTCTGTGCAAGTCTGCAGTTGATCAAGTTAATTTTGTTACACTAAATATTTTAGAATTTCCATTCAGTATTCATTCAGACCAATTCAGCTGATCCTTTTTACTCCACATAGGTTTAGGCTTTCATAGAAGTTGTATAACAAAACTGTTGAATCTCATTAAAAATTAACAATCCATCTTATAAAACAATTAAATAACATATACTTAAAAATTATATCAAGGTCTCGTTATTGATCTTCAAACATTGCCTTTTATCCCCCGATAGCAACGTCGTAATAATCAAGGTGTTGGTTGGTTATAAATCTATATTCTTCTACTTTCAAACATTGTTATTAAAAATTCTTAATTTTACTTGTTTTTGAGATATCCGTGGTGGACCTTTTTACCCGCGGTTCCTTCAAAACTCGCTATACCCTATCTAAATTTTGTCACTAGTATTACAATTTTTAACTAATTTGGTTCTATCAATCTGTGATTTTTTCATCCATTAATTCATAAATGAGCTTTGAATTCAAACCAAGAAAAATAAATTTTAGATATTGTAATCTTTGAAATCAAATTTTGAGCGGTCAGTGCTAGATGTAATGTAACTTCTAGACGATAATAAGTTTCATATCAAGATGTGTCTATTTTATATAATGGGTTTATACATGATGAGATGCTCCTGCATACTTCAATAATATTTTATATGTTATACAAAAGTTATTTTCAATGTTAATCACGTGCGAAGTGGGTGCTTCGCAGGTAGACGGCATAATTGCTGGTACCGTATCAATCAGCGTGATTTCTGGGCAATTTTTAAACAGACAGGAGGGCTGGTACGTATGTGGAAGTGGACATGTATGGTCTTCCAGCAGACACCGTCAGAAAGAGATTCCGGACGAGATCCGTTCCGAACAATGGCATCAATCCTGTTTATGGCGATGAACCTTTCGTTTTCAAAAAGGTAAACTTAATAGATACACTTTCAGATTATGCTTTAAATTGCTTTAGATAATAAATAACGATAAAAAAGTAAGACTTTTCATACTTAGAGGCACAAATGCAGAAATACGTCTTGTGCATGTTTTAATACGAAGGGCAAATCCTTCGGTAATATATAGAACGTAACAAAGCGTTGTTATGGCAACGCTATGCTACGCTTCTTTCTTGGTACTGAAAACGGTCAAATTGTATTTTCAGTGCAATAAGACAGTTTAGATATAGAACCTAACCTAGAAAATCCTCAAATGTCCAAAATGTTATCGTAACTGCATCTTAATGATTTAAAACGCCTGATCACATAGCAAATATATAGCATTTTGACAATTTTATTACCAAGAAAAGAGCGTAACATGGCATTGCCATAGCAATGCTTTCTAACGGTCTATTTTGCCAGAGATTTGCCCCTGCTCGTGAGATCAATGTCAATATTGCCTCACTCAATTGTTAATATTGTCATCAATTATAATATTGCCTCACTTAATATTCAAAACTTTAGAAAACTTGTTAAATAGATTAGCTAGTTATAAGGCATTTAACGACATAATTATAATTAATACAATGTATATATGCAAATTCAGTGTTTCAGTTAATTTTTCATTATAATACAGTATAACTTAAATGCTTTACTTTCAACAAGTATAATAGACTTTTACAGAAGAGGAGATATGACAATCTTCTTCAAAAATATCTCATATTACTTTGTTTTGAATATACTTTTAATACTAAAAAATGCAAATTATTATTATTTTTCACTCTTTGTGCTACTTCTTTTAATTAATCTCATTACGTGCTCTCTTTTAAGTTGTCAGTTAATTGCTTCATTTTTATAATCCGTTTATCATTCTTTCATTATTTTTCACTATGCTATATTTCATTATATATCTTTTTGTTTACATATTTAATTCTGCTGTGGAAGACTTAGAAAAATATTCAGTTTTTACTTTAATTGTAAAATTTTATAGATATACAATTTCAAAATTATTTATCCAGATTTTAAATTTGTGTAAACTTTTTTAAACTTTTAAATATTTTATATTATAACTCAATAATATGCATTATATTATATTTTCCTAGTTTTTCTTAAAAAGATGCTAATTCTAAATTACTAAATATTGTTACTTATATTACATGTTTTTATTATTTTAGAACAATCTGTTTTTTATATAAAATAATTTTTTTTATAAAATAATTTACGAATAGCAAATTGTTTATTTCTAACTAAATCCAGTAAGATTTTTTATCGATTTTATTTTGTGTTTTATTAAATCATTGTCCTCGGACAAACCTTCTTGCATATATTTTGGGTTAATATCCATTTTTTCTAAAACTGATAACTAATTAATTTTGAATATTTTCATTTCAAGTTTAAGTATTCGATATTCTTTTAAATATACAGAATTTAATAAATAATCCAAATACAAATAGCAGGCCGCATACTTCATAATGGATCTTACGTTGCATCTGCGTCTCTTTTTTCTTAGAAACTTTAACTATAAAACTGTTAAAACAATACTTATCTAAAGTTTTTGATGTGTATGTATGTATATGTGAGATACTATGAAAAGTTTCGAAAAAACTCTAAATGATTCCAATGAGTTACTTACGTTTTGACATAAATATGGTATTATACAAATAATACCATAATCCTAGACAATATTAGAATACCCCGTGTTCACCATAATATCCAACTTAACTAATTCTAGATCTTATATTTGGTTTTTAAAATAATCTATTGATTTTAAGAAAACATACTTTAAATTCACATCTAATCGATATGCTACATTACAGTTCTCTGAAACACTAAATTTTGTATAAAAATTATTCTATTTTCAACTACAGCAGATTTCAGAAAAATGAAGTGACTGAAATTTGAGAATCATTTTCGTATATAATTTTTGTATTTCAGTAAGTTTGTATATCTTTCATGTAAAAAATCTGTTTTGAATAATAATATTGTGTTTTTATTTTAGGTTGTACTACCAGAACTAGCAAGCATCAGGTTGGCAGCTTACGAGGAAGGGGGCAGATTTCTGGACACCGAGTGCTGCCAGTTGTTGGTCTTTGGTCTTTGTCCTGGTTATAAGCATGTGCAGCTAAGAACAGAATTGGGCTTACCTCTACCATTAGCCACATTATTTTTATCTATAGTAGTTAAGGTATAGTAAATAATTTATAATATTAATAAAATTAGTCTTCATCTAATATTTTATTCTCAAGTAGGTCAAGCTATAAGATTACCACTTTTCTTAGATTTTGCGCTTTAGTATATATGTTTTAAATTAAATATCCGCGTTCTTCTTCGACATTTCCAGTCCAGTTTCTATTCTATCAGTAACAGTTCTACTTTTGAAACCTTACCGTGATATATATTATAAAATATTGTTCCATATTCTACTTGAAAATATATCAAAACTTTTCAAATATTGTTAGTAGTAAAGTTTTTGTCCGGGAGCAATCTGGAGTTATGCAGCAAATATATTTTACAAGTTTTCGCATCTTTTGAAATTCAATATATTGTTCAAACAAATCCACCAGAATTATGCTTAGGTTTTGTTTTGGAGTTTAAGAGAATATATAGTTGGCATCTTAGTTCAAAAGAACGTATCGAGTGTCCTATATATAAATATGATATCAAAATTTAATATTTTCATTAAATTATAAATATTTTTAGTAACTTAATAAGTTTGATTCGGTTAGTTTAATTTGGTTAGTCTTAATTCAATCTCAAATTAGTCTAAATTTAATATCAAAATTTAGTCTTTTCATTGAATTAAATATTATTCATCAATCCTATAAGTTTGTTTCAGATTGTTGACCCTAATGAAAGATATTTTGAAAAATTCTGAAATATAACAGCATATATATTTTATAGTCATATTTCAAGCTATATATACAGGGTGTCCCTGAACTTAAGCTCAAGCCAAAATGGGGTGATAGTATTGACCTTAATTATCCTGAAAAAAGAATTTTAAAAAATATCTCACGTTTCAAAATTATGAGCTTTTAAGTGCAATCTAGAGCTTTGGTGATTCATAATTGATGTAGAGTGATTTAGAATTATGTTATAATAATATATAATATAATGTGACTAAAAATTGTCATAGTTTTACCTAATTTTTAGGTTGCCAATTTCTAAATAACGTGAGCAATTTTTTAACTTTTTGTAGGGCAATTTATAGTAATTGCAAAAAAATCGAAAATGAAAATTTTATATATTTTTACGTTTTAAAGGTTTCTGAACATTTGGCATACCTTAGAAGAAATGGATGTATGTGTGTGTGCGGATACAAATTTAAAAATAATTTATAATAAGTGCAAAAAAACGAAAATGAAAATTTCATATATTTTTACTATTTAAAAGTTTCTGAACATTTTGGCATACCTTAGAAAAAATGGATGTATGTGTGTGTGTGTGTGCGGATACAAATTTTCGTCGATTTTAAAAACATTCAATTGGTATTGATAAGGAGGCGTGCTGATTAGTTTTTGGCAAAGGCAGGTTCAGCGGTTATGGCCTCTCAATAAAAATAATTTAGAAAAAATGTCATTTGGCGGTCAAAAATATTTATTGGACATATATGTACATCAAATTATCAGACATTTTATAGAGATTTTCATAATGTGTACACATTTGTGTAAATTTTTTTGGGTTCCGTATCAAGATTTTCAATGACGGTACGGTAAGTTCCAGTAATTTGCCTCAAGGCACGATGCCATGCACTCCACTAGTTATTCTAATTTTTATCAGGGCAATACTATCACCCCGTTTCGGTTTGAGGTTAAGTTCTGGGACACCCTGTATATTTATATATATATATATATATATATATATATAATATTTTATATTTTAATTTGATGGTTTTCCAAAATACTTAAAAATACATAAAAATGAATTTTATTATGCATAATTTTCGAATAATAATAATATATGACTGAATTAGTAAAATGTTTTCCAGTATAATTATGATACATGAAATCCCTAATATCTATGTGAGAACTATATGGAAATTATCAATTCATAATTAATTAAATATTATTCATACGGCATTATGATATTTTAATGTGTTTTTATAATATATAAATTATATAATTCTTTCCAGGATTACGTTCCGCATAACTTTGTGGACATTGCCGATGCACTCGCGAATCCGATAAAATATCAAAGTGCATTGGACAAACGTGCAGAGCAACTGGCTGTGCTCACAGAAGATATGGAACCAGAATTGAATGCTGATGGAGAAGAAGACCACAAGGGTGAGGGTGGTGACAAATGTGATACAAAAGGGGATGCAAATGTGCACCTGTCTAGTACGACAGGCAGTGGCAGTATCTCTTCTCTAGTTGCTAAACCTCAGCGTAGAATGACCAGTAAGTAGATAATGAATACGTCTATAAGAGAAATTGGAACTGGGCATTATCATTTGTTAATAATCTACATATATATAAAAATAAGTCGGAATTTCCTTCCTGACGATTTAACTCCAGAACGCAAGAACCGATTTCGACAAGTTTGCATTCGTTGGAAAGGTCTCGGTCCGCAAGGTTTATAGTTAAGAAAATTAGTGGTGCCTGGCATAGTGCCTTAATGCAAATTGCTGGAACTTCACACACCGTAATTAAAAATTCGAGTAATGACATTAGTGAGTATTATCAGAATTATGCTTGGTTAAGTCAACGAGCAATTCTTGCCGCAAAGAATAATTATGTACACGCACTGAATTTCATCATTCAATCAAAAATTGCTGGCGATTTGGTGACATACCAATGATTCCGACATCTTTCTCGAAACGGAGTTCGTCGGGTTTGCTAGTGTTGTATAAAATTAGTTTTAATAGAATTTTTAAGTTTGTTGATTATTGGGAAGTAGGCAATTTAGCTGTCAATCAATAAAAGGTTATGAGCTGTTTCTGGTGGCGAAGCCCTAAAAATCGGCAGTGTCAGAATTGGTTTGCCAAATTTCGTTCTGGCGATTCTTCACTCAAAGATGAAAACCGCTCTGATCGTCCAGTCGAATTTGATTACAAAAGATTTGCCTACTTCTACACTTATTATCCAACCTCTACATTGTACAACTACTAAAATTAAAAATTTCAATAGCGTGAGCTGAACTTCTATTATATAATTATATCTATGCAATGACTGAAATGTTTGTAATTTATTTATTTAATTATTAATATAATATCTTACATTATTTGTAAGTCACATGTTTATATCTACCGTATAGATATATCACATATAGTTCCACAATATACTCAAAATTATTGTTTGGTTACATAATAGGCAATTAAATTAACTCCTATAATTATTGATACCCAATATTGCAATACCAATATTCGTTGAAAAAATGAGCATACTAATATAATGTCATTGAAAATTAAAAAATAAAATCAAGTCAAAATGTTCAATTTTATTTTAAAACTAAATGCCACTTGCATCTAAAAGTGGAATTTTCTTTTAAGATAAAATTGAACATTTTGTCTTGGCTCATTATTTCAAACTTTAATGAATTTTTATAATTAAAACACTTTTTGTAGACTTCTAATATTTTAAAATATTTGTTAAGAACATGAACTAATCATACAAAGTTTCATTAAAATCGAGAAAAATTAACTATTATTTACGAAATAAACAGCTAGGGCGAACTTTACCAAATAAATATCAGCACGATTCCCAACTGATATGTATCGATTTTCAAAATCGGTTCACGACTTTAGGCTAAACGTGGACGAAAAATTTTTCACATTTTAACTGGTTATAAAGAAATAGCTTGGCCGATCTTCTTGCGAAACTAATCAACGAGTGTTTCATCAAATGGCTTTACATTTTTTTCGGTGCAGCTGTTTTTAGAAAACGTTCTCGTCAATTATAAATAATGATGACATTTGAATATATTTATTTACTGCAAAACTTATTTTTTGAATAATAACAAATCTTTTCTTTGCAGTATCAAACGTCGCCTGCAGACGAGAGCTTCTAACATCCGACGGCGGCAGTCCTCATTCAATAACCGCCGGCGGTAGTCCTCGTTTGCATCACCGGGCTAGTGTGGTTACCAGCACCGCCTTGGGCGGGATGGTTGCAGGCGGCGGTCTCATCGCCAATGCAGCCACTGTCTCGTCTCTGACTGGAGGAACTGACGACAAAGAATTCAGTGACGGTCAGAACGAGGTCACAAGCAGCGGAGCAAGCGGTGGGGACATGCCTGTTGTCAGAACTATTTCAGCTGCTTTAGTGAGTAACTAAAGATAAATCTAATTGTTTGAAACATTTTATTAAAACTAATCCCATTTATTTGTAATTTTTTATTTTATATTGTTACGAATTGATTTGTCTATTATTAGTTACTAATTCCTGGAAAACTACTTTAAATATTACAACTATTAATGAGAGTGTTAGTGACTTAATTACATAATTATTTTCACATACATATTCTAAACATTTCTTAACATAAAACATACAATTTATCCTAGACTTATTTAACCCGCGGTGCAAATAGTGTCCGAACATGTCCATACTTCGGGCCCGATTCACATTACACACTAATCACATATTGTATTATATTAAATTACTTTCGGTTCGGTGACAGCTGCCGATGCGCTGACCTGTTGTTGTTCTTTTAGCTCACCTTATAAAAATAGTTTATTAGACATTTTGCACTCTGGACCGCGCGTTTGATGACCCTGATTTTATACTCAGTGCCAATACTTTACATACACAAAAGAAGACTACTCTCACGACTGTGGGTTAATTGCATACTTCTTCTGGACACTCAGGAAGAACTCATATAAGGACAGGGGAAGTTTTGTGTTATTTATATATGTGTGCGGGTGCTCACTTGCACATTCATAACAATATATCAATTTGATTTAACCACGTTTTTAGTATATATGCCTACTCTTGTAAGTGTAATGTAATCTTTCCTTGAAACAAGTTCTAATCAAGTGTTTGGATAGAGCGTTATAGATGATGATATATAGATGATAAGTAGATACAAAACTTTTCGACATTTTCAGGAATAAAATAATCAGGAACAACAGAAACAATGACTCTTTTTAGGTCTAGCAATAAGAATATTGTGACGGATGAAGGTTGATGCTTCCTTTCTTGGGTGTTGCAACGACTGCCAAATATTATATCTTAGCATTGCATCCCCATTACGAAAGGGTTACTCCAACTCCTTAACCCTACTTCCATAAACACCTTGTAATTACCTTTGGAAACTAAACCAACTAACTACGCGAATGCACTTTTATCTCATTTAATTTAACTAATTATGATTACAGATCTGAGGAAATGACTGTACCTACGTACAGTCATGCCCTTGTACCTAAACTCTAACGTACTGATTAATCTTTATAAAATAGTAACGGAGTAATGTAACAAACTAATGTAACATAATCGGAGTATTGGAATATGCTAACGGAGAGAATAGCTAATATATAATACATCTGACCTTTGCTGGAACAGGTTCTTCTCTCCGGGCACAGCACACACACCACTATGCACTAAGCGGGTCCAACGGCTCCCTCCTGGACCCGGCCGACCTCCTCGGAGGATGTTACATTCCTTAATGACGCTTTTCAACCCTCGACTTGAACCTTATATTGCAGGAACCCTAGTAGAAGTATGTGGGGGAGTACATTTGCACTGAGGGTTGTGCAAACCTTTTACGACAATACCAATTGTCGTTACAATATATTTATATTATTGTTGTCATTGTGTAAGAGCACCAACTTCTTGTTTTCAGGTGCAATTGCTTTTTCCTGTTTTCTCTTCTCGCGCAAGTCGTTGATCGACTTCATTTTTTTTTTTGTTCTTTTATATTAGCTTTTATATTTTACCTTTAATGACATCGTGTCGAAAATATCAATATGGATTCGATCTCATTTCCTTTTCTTTTTACAACCGTGTTCAGAAAAAAAAAATTCCACTTTTTGCCTTTGCACTTGCGGCTCATTTATTTTTTGGCACCACATCCTGAATCACTCTCGAATCTGGTTGAAATCATATATCAGTATTTAAAATATTTTTGTAATTAATATCAATTTTATTCCATTACTATCTTTTCAGCAAAAAGCTCTCGATCAGGCTATTCCAGTGCGAAGTCCCGAAGCGATAGCTGCAGAAGACATCAAAGCTGAAACACTGGAAAAACTTTTCGAAAATAAATCCGTTGCTGAGAAACGTTTGGAGATGGAGAAAAAAATAGAATCGTTGCGTAAGAAACAAGACAAGGAAAGGCAAAAGTCTTTGGAGGGTAGCGGATTAGCTGAGAAGAGATCTTCTAAATTCTATATGAGCAGTAAACTTGTGAAGAGGCTATCCAGTAAAAATATGTAAGTATAGTAATAGATAATATAGTAATAGAATATTATTTAATAAAAAGGAGTTATAATATTCTAATCGAGTATAGACATTCTGGTACGACCATCACGTTTTCCCAAATTTTCTTCACATTATTGAATGTGATCTTTAATTTTTGATTTTGAAAATAAATCCTAAAATTGGCATATCGATAGTATTTTTTAATAATAAGTTATATGCAGATTTATTTTTAATCAAGGTAGTCATAAATGTACCTATTTTATTTTCAAATGATATTGCTCTTTTATATAAATTATTTCTCCAATTTAAATTAGGGTGAAGTTTGGCCGACTTATGAATACTTTTATTAGTTAATGTTTGTAATTTAGTTAATCTGTTTATTTCGCATTTTATGAAATTTTTTTGTTGAATTTCAGCAGTGACGCACCTTGGTCATCGGCGGGATCTTTAGGAAGTGTTGACGGGGATAGTCACGCTGTGGCTGCCGCCGCTTCTTGTCCAGCTTTAGCTCGGCTGGTTCGCGAGCACGCTATTCAACTCAAAGAACTTCAGGAACGTTATCATGAAACAATATATTCCATAGCCGAAAAGGCTTTAAAACAATCTCAGGCCAATCAGATGAAAGCTTTGAGGGTAAGTAAATAATTAACACAAATCAGCGGTTAAAACACAATTATGTCATTCTGGCTCCTGAATTTGAATTTTAACTTATTGTGTTTGTTGTTCTTTATTGATTACTATTGTTTAAATTATATTTTGGCACTATTTACATTTCAATTTACTACTAGGAGTGTGTGGTATTTTGCCTTAATCCAAGTTGCATGAACTTCCTATGTGATAATCGACTTAACCGAAAAGAATTGTCATTTGGTAAATTCAAATTATTACGATAAGAATTTGAAATATTTATTTTGATAATAAGCTTTGTGGAATCTAGTACAGGTCCATAATATAAATATTGAATCTTACTTAACAAATATTTATAATTAATATAATTATTTTGTTTGCAGGCTTTGCTGGATAGAGAAACGGCGGAACTGGGACAAATATTAGAAACGACGAGGCGGAAAGAAGTCAAAGATCTTGCTAAAAAGCATCGAGATCGAGATGAACTCATTCGTATGAAAAGAGAAGTGAGATATAACATTTTTTTTTTCAATTATAACATTTTTTATATTAATCCAAGTTCTAATGAAAAAGTGCTCGAGCCAGTTTAATTCTAATTTCTACGTCTGAATTTATTTATTAAGCTTCATTTATCTGAAATATTTTACCCTATTGATAACATTGACTTCTAAAATTGAATTGTATTATGATTTTAGGTGGCAACAGCAATCGTCGAAAGGGGTGTTGCAGAACGAGTTAGACTTGCCCAAGATTATGAGAGAAGAATTGATGTTCTACAACGTGAACATAATCTTGTGAAAAAAAATCTTGAAGAACATCGATTGAAGGTAAACTAATAGAAATATTTTATTATATGAGGGTGCACCATTTTAATTAATTATGGCAAACTTTTGAACAAATTGTAGGTATTTACGTGAAGTTTTCTAGTTATTACCTAAATATATTACCTAAAATATTCAAACTGAAGAAAATATATTTTATTTATTACCTGAGGAAGAGTTTGAACAAATTGTACCGGTATCAAATTGCTTGTATTCGATAGAATTTTAGTCAGATCTCAATCTGTCAAGACGTTATAAACAATAGAAGTTAAAGATATTAAATTTGTTTTTATATCATGCCTTCTATTGAGGAGGCTGTAAGTTTAAGGTTACACCTTACTCAATGAGGCTTACTAAATAAGTATAATATTTAGAAATAATTTCCAATTATGCATGAATCGATTTTATACACAAACTTCTTTTAAATATAAACTAATAAATAGGGAAATGTAATATTACTATTGCTCGAACCTCACAAATTTCATACATCTATCTTCTTTTTCCTAACATTAATAAAATAATGTTCTTACCTTACGAGAGAATCTTCAGTTTCACTCTCTGGGATTTTGATAAAACTTCACATGGTGATAAAATTGATAGTCAAACCGAACCCCAGAAAATATTATAGACCTGTGAGAAGTGGTTTAATTATAAAAAAGAATTAAAGTTGTTGCAAATACGCGCTAGGTTATCTCGACATACTAACAGGGAAAAAATTATTTATTTATTAAAAACTATTTACGTATTTTTAATCAATTCAAGTTATTTTATATTAGCTCTGATATAGCATTTTTAACAATAAATTATATCTGGTCCTCCGAGATAATTACAGTGTTCGTGTGTAGTGAAATTAATTTATTTTTTAATAAACATTGCGCCGGGCATCTACAACTGTAGTTATATAAAGCATCGTTGAAGTAAGTAATGTGCTCTTACACACATCTTATCAACCTATAAATCTGATTAACCCATCTAAATTTTTTGTAAAAATTTTAAGTTTTGCAACAAAATTAAGTAAGTCATTTATAGTTAGTAAGAATTTTGAAAATTAATACAAAAACGATTTGATTGAATGCTTTAAGTGGTTACACCACTGTAGCAGCCTAAAAAACGCATGTTTTTGCCATTTTTTTCGGGCAGAAGGAAATGTAATAAAATCATGATATTAAATATAGTTATTTATTGTACTTTAAAGTAACAAAATAAAATATAATTGTAAAAAAAAATAAAAATGACGGTACCACAGCCATTTCGGCGAGCCGCGTCAAATTGGAGGCGCTCCGCGGCACGCACAATAACTACAACAATTTCATTTTTTAATAGTATATTTAAAGTGCCGCGTTGCAAAATCGTGTTTCGAGAAAAACGCGTTTAAAGTTTTGAAATAAATTATAGATAAGAAAAAATAGAAAAAATATCAGTTTAATATTTTTCACTATTAATCTGATATTCCAGCAATATACAGATACTTTTTTATTTTTATAATTTTTTTCTTATTTCCTTCCCTTGATGATTTTATATCAGACGTCCTACTTTTGGCACATCCGTCAAAGACCGTTCGGCATGCTTAAGACGTTTATAATTGGCTTTAAGACAAAAATTACATGTTTAGATGCCAATATTAATCTCCAAAACTATTTTCATTTATAAAATATTGCTTAGGCCATCGTTGAAATTATCCCCAGCAATATCAGCCGCAATATAGTTAACCCTTATATGTGTTGACTCTGCACTGATCATCTATTGGTTAAAAATGCTTTTACAGTTAATTTATGCAATATAAATATTTAATAATAACATATATTAGTATATTTAAGAAGATACGCGTAGTCATTTTTCTTTATAATATTTTTTGTTGATGAATTTGAGCGGTGTCGGTTCGGAGCAGCCCGACGCGCATGGGAAAAAGCTCATAATTATAAGTAAAAAAATAAAGTTTTAGGTATGGAATATTTTTTCTCATATTCTAAAAGGTTCAAAGTATATTTTAAGCCTAAAAAAATTTTTTGGTTTTTCGAAAAATCTACAGTGGTGTAACCCCTTAATTATTTTCAATATTTTATTACCAGGCGAAGAATGATTTGGAACTGGAGTATTCTAGTCGCATAAGTTCCGCCGAGTGCGGTGAAACCGCCGGCAGCGGCGCCTCCACGGCGGCGGTGTCGAGCTTACAGGAACAGCCGTTGGAGCTGTAGCACGAGCGGCTCTCGACCATCAGCGAGACAATCTCCGCCACAACCAAATCCAAATGCGGTAAATGTAATAGTTGTTGTCGGACCGCCGACAGTCCGTGACAGCCACAGCTGACCAAACACGGCCAATGTGAGTAAAAATGACATTTAGATTTAATGTGTTTTTTTATGACTGTTATAAATTCATACTTATTATTGAATCGATTATATAAAAGATGATAATAGCAGTGCTAGTGGCAGAGATTTCAAACTCAGTTTGATCTTAAAATTACAGTAGTTAAGGTAACACAGGTACAGAATTCCGGTGTAGTACATAATTTCGTGATATTTTCATTTCATCGCAAATAAAATTTTTATACAATTCAACATCAAGAATATAGTTAGTTAAATAGTTTCAATTTATTAAATGTTTCAATTAATTTTTAAAGCCGTATCGAGCTTATGATCGTAGCCCGTACGGCGTTGTTGTTTAGCCCAAGAGACTCTTCCATATCTTAATAATTATAAGTGACGCTAAGTTTAATGTACTTAAATCTATGAAATTATTGGTTAATATTAATATAAAATAACTTTATAATTAATTATTAACATACTTTTCGAGAAATTGTCAATTTCATGAATACCGTAATTATGTTCACACTAGGTAGTTTATGTAATTCCGTGCATATCACGAAATAACGAAAGATTGGCTTAAAATATTTTTGTCTTTTATTTTCAACTATCGTTAAATTTAGTGGTGTTTTTTATGTACATATTTTTTAGCTCTTATAATTAAGTTTGAAACTAGTGGGGTGGGTGGCATCGTGCCTTAAGGCGTAACGAAATGTTCGAGGAATACTGAATGTTTTTCAATAGATTATTATAAATATTGTAACATTGTCTAATATTTATAAGAATTATATAAACTGAATTGCAAAGTTGAAATTATTTGTGAAGTATATTAAAACTATAGTCACAATTAAAAATAAAATCTGAATTATTTTCGATATACAAAAAATTTAAAAAAAAAATTATTTTGAAGACAAGCATAAAGTTCTTTGAATCATTCAAATCGGACGCTTAGTTCTCTCAAAAACTTAAATTTTTTACGTATTTAGCTCAGTATCTTTGAAATGGATGGGCCTGTCTTTGCCAAAAACTAATAAACCCTTCTCCCAATCATTACTAATTGAATGTTTTTTAGATCATTCAAATCAGATGCTCCGTTCGCTCAAAAAGTCGATTTTTATTTTCTGCACTCTTTGCTCCGTATCTCCGAAACGGCTGGACCTGCCTCTTCTGCTCTTCTCCCTATCAACAGGAATCGAATGTTTTTTGAACCATTCAAATCGGTTGATCCATGCGCCCGAAAACGTGACTGGAAATTTGTATCCTACATACATACACACACACATCCATTTTTTCTGAGGTATGCCAAAATGTTCAGAAACCTTCAAAACGTCGAGAAATTGTAAAAATTTTCAATTCCGATTTTTGGCCCATTACAATAACTTACCCACGGAAGTTAATAACTACTCTCTCGTAATAAAATACACAAGTTTTTCACTCACAAACTTTTCGAAGGAAAAGATTGTTTTCGCCAGAATATCCGATTTGCTAATTTTATGTTTTCTCAACGTTTCATTCTGAATCAAATGACACAGTGTGTTCTGTGTGCGGGAAGATAATTTTCGACCTTTTGTTGAGGTTTTCACAGAAACGGCTGAGCCGATTTAAAAAAAATTAAGCCATTCGATTGATATTTACTCGCATTGGTTGTTGGTTATACGACCGGCTGAACCATTTCTTTAGAATTAGTGCAAATTGAAGAGAATAAGTACAAGTGCAAATTTTTTCGTCCACATGTGAGCGAAAATTTCAGAACCAATTTTGAAAATTTTAAATTCTATCTTATCTAATAAGTTGGAAGATATCTTCTGGAAATTGTGTTGATTTTTAGTTAAGATTTTAGTTAAGTTTTTAATAAAGATTCGTCATTTTTTATGAAACTGTATATGGTGATAAAGTACTTGGCTAATGAACACACGTGTTTCGGCAAAATACAGATCATTTCTATAAATGACGTGTTCTACGATGCAAAATGTTGTTTTATAATAATCCTATAAGTCTACTCTATTCAATAGAACAGTTTTAAATATTTGGTTCGCTTTCCTACTTTTTCTGAAAATCATCTTTAAAGTCAAACGTTTAGTCAATTCCGGAATATGGTACACTTACTATAAATGCTTTTCATCAAAACCAGACTTTTTTAACAGAAATATGTATATGGAAGTAACATGGAACAGAGCTGCTACTGCATATTCTCGTAGGAAAATAAATAAATAGACTCGTATAAAAATGTATAATATGGAAACAGTGATAAAAAACTCAGTCACTCGATGTAACTCGATAAGAACTATCGTTGATCAGTTTTGCGCAACGATAGGTCAAGCCGTTTCTTTGTAATTGGCAGAAAGTGTTGTCTTCCTAACAGTTCATCCATCGTCTAATAACCTATTAGGTGTCCTATTAGTAATAGGACACGCTCTATTCGTAAAATACGGGAAAAGAATTCGATTACTAAGACCGGTGTGAAACTATTTTCCGACTGTGCTAGGCAACAAGTTATAGACAGAAATATGTTAAGGATAATGCCGTGGTAAAAAGCGAGCTTAAACGTAATATATGGTTGGCAATATCGTAAAATTTGGTTTGTATTGTCCTGGCAATATTCAAGAAATCTGGTGTCATGTGCACTGGGCGTATGATATGTATCTTTATTGTCTAGGAGTATACATATTTATGAAATATATTTTAATAGTATTATGCATTCTTCGAATTCTGTTTATTTTTAGGAAGACAAGTACGATAATATTTAACATTTGATAAATATTTAATTGTTTTTTAACATTTTTTTACAGAATCCTATGAAAAGCGGTTTGCAAGCATGCAGATCGTCATAGATCTCTCGATAGAAAATTAATTTCGACATAGCACCATATGCCTATGGTTAAAGGTGCAATTTGTGTGTCAGTTCCAACCTTGCTTAAAAGCAAATTTACCGATTCGGTTTGTCTAATTGCAGCTCCAAAATTGAAGGTAATTCAAAGAAAATTATCTTAGGCAATAGTAATATATCTGAAGATTTCATGTGAGATCCCACGTTTTGAAACTGTTTTAAAATATTCGCTTCAAAAACTCAGCGTTCGTGTATTATTAAACAATTTAGTTATTGTGTAAATACTGCAGAAATTTATTTATTGAAGAAAATCTCATAGTGTTTTAAGTTACCTGCTAATAAATTAATATATTTTAATAGCACTTTTATATTAGTATGATTTGTCTATAATATTTTAATTCATGAATATATGACAAATAATAATAGTATCAAATTTCAATTTAAATCAAATTAATATATTTTATATGTGTATTTTAAATATTATTTATCTCTGTTAATTATTTTTGCGGTAATTCTGCAAGACTGATTTCACAAAAACTGCACAAGTATTAGAGTTTATAGATAAAAGTATTAAAAATCGTGTTGAATTTTTTTGTTATTCTTACTATTATTGTGAATTTTATCGTCGTTCAAATTAAATATATAAAACTCATAAACTTATGTAGTAGGTGTAGCATAAAGTGAATAAATGTCTATATTTCTAGCATTTGAGTTTAAGAATTGTAATATACTAGGTATAGGAATTTATAATATTTTGAGTGCCATATGTATTGCTTTATTATGCATGATACCGTAAACAACTTGATCTTATACATGTGAAAAATGTATATTTTTTTCTTTACAAACAATGTATTGGACTTTTAGGTTTATTCGTGATGGTGATGCTGAAGTTCAAGCAATATTAAAATTACTTACAGATTAAGAAATTTTTAAAATTAAATTTTTCATTTAAATATGATTTTATTGAAATATCAGTTTCAACGCATTAATATTTTTTATTTCGCCCAAAGTATTCAATCAATTATGATAGCATAATACATTCGAAATCCAAGAAGTGATGTGGTAAAAACGCATACAATTTTATACTTCAACTGCAGAATGCAGAAGTAAAGAACTCTATAAAAATTAAAAATGTGGTTAAAAAATTAGTAGCTTTTTTTAACTAATCATAATAGGGGAGATCCAGTACGGTTGTTGCACTTTTTTATCAGCAATAATTTTAGTTATGATTTATAAGGTGACTATACGTCCCGGTTTGGCCGGGACAGTCCCAAATTTTCACATTGTGTCCCGGTTTGTTCCAAACGTAATATTTGTCCCGGATTTAGATCTTTTGTTCCGGATTGTCCCGGTTTTTTGAAAATTAAAAGGTAAATCACCAAAAATTGTGAAAACAAATGAAAAGTGATTTTTTTAAAATCAATTATCAAGAAAGTGAAATAGAATTTTATACAAGGCTCAAAAGCCAAAAATATAAGATCGAAAAATATATAATATATAATATAATATCATAGATAAAAAAGTTGTACATATAATCAAAAATAAAAGTCTGCAATTCTGATTAAAAGAAAAATATTTATATGGAAAACCTTCTTTTTTATTGTTTTCTTAAATAACATTTGTTATTTTAAAGAACACTCTCCCCATGTGAATGTAGGGAGCTGGCTCAAAGCAATAATGGAAACTTGTTCGAACAAAAATACTTCATCTTTCTTCCTTTGAACCCTATCTCAAAATCAGTATAGTTTAACTGTTAGGGCGATTGCCACTATAGTAACCTGGCACAACCGTACCCAGTCTGTACTGTTAAACCATATTAATACTTCAAAAGGGTTTTGTGGTGTTTTAGGGAGTTCACTACATTCACCATTTTAGAGACTTTTAATGTAAATAACCACCAAAAATACGACCAAAGTTGTTATTTAAATCTATTTCGACAACATACCAGTATTATAACTGAACCTTTTATATCTAAACTTTTAAAGTAATTTTTAAGCAAAATTGTCCTGGTCACATATTTAATTTTACACACGATTTACTGTGAAGATAGCAAAAGAAATTCATTATAAGAATATTATTATATTAGTCATTACATTTCTGTATCAGCACAATTTACTATAAATAATTAATAACGCAACAATAACAGCCAATTGAATGTAGTTAAAAGAACTTCGATTTAGCATACATTTTTTTTATTAAGTGATATTATTAACTTTAGTGATGCTTTTATAATACTGTAAAGAATTTGACTGTGATCATGTATTGCAATTATATGGCACTCATTTATGTGTGATTACTATTCATATTTTCTTAGTAAAAAGTTGTTGAAGAACATTCCCTATACTTAAGTAGCCAACTATTTTTAAAACTGTTAGTTTAATAATTAAAACTTGTTTGTATAGTTTATGTGACGTTTATAATTCAAATTAATTTAATTAATTTAATTCAAATTTTAAGTCAGTTTTAATGGTTGTGATTTAATTTTAGCAAATTTAGCTTAATTATAGCATGATTATTTTTCTTTAGATTACCATGGCGCTTTGTATTAGTTATGATATCGTTTTTCTATCTTGAATGAATTTTAATTTTCAGTATTTAACATTTAGTTTATTATTGTTTATTTTAGTTTATAAATAATGAGCAATATATAAAGAGAGCAAAAGTTTTTGAATATTTTTATGGTAATAAAATGAGCCAGGCAGTTTTTTGTAAAGACAGTGAAATTCGAGGTTTGGTGGTTTGTCGGAATTTTGACAATTAATTTATAATGATTTTACGTTAATTATATTTTTATTTTAATTAAGATTTAAATTCTTAATTGGAAATTCTTTATATTGAACGAGAGATAGTATTAAATTATTTTTTTAATTCAGCTCTTGGCAGGTAACTATAATATATAAGGTCTATCTCTATTCTCTACATTATAGTTTGCTTGAAAATTTCAATACTAAATTTAAAAAATAGCAATTGCTCGAAGAGTTAGTTTTTTAGTCAAAAGGTTTAGTTCGTATTTCTTAAGTTTCTTTTTTAATTTAGCCCTTAGCAGATCACTTTATAATATAGAGTCCTATTCTTTATTATTGTTTGCTTGAAAATTTTAAAACTAAATTTACGAAATATGATTGCTCAAAGCAGTAGGTTTTTCTTATATAAAATGCTTTAAGTTTTAATCTATTATATTTTTTTTTGTTAATTCAGCCTTTGGCAGGTTACCCTATAATATAGAGTCTATCTCTACATTATTATTTGCCTGAAAATTTCAATATTAAATTTAAAATATAGCTATTGGTCAAAGATGTAATTTTTTCTTATATAAAATGCTTCAAGTTTTAGTCTATTATGATTTTTTTTAATGCAGCCTTCGGCAGAATACCCTACAATATAGAGTCTATCTCTACATTATTGTTTGCTTGAAAATTTCAATACTAATTTCATTAAATAGCAGTTTATCAAGAAAGTAGATTTTTGATCTCCGTTTCAGTTATTGTATTTTCAACATTTGCATCATTTTAATGGATTTCTTTTTATTAGTAAAACAAAATATATATACTTTTATTTTAAAAAATAAGTACATAAATTCAATCAAAACCTTTTCCAATCAATAATTCACTGGAACCATTTTTGAGTTTTCGAATTAATCCAGAAATATGTGCAAGGCCCATACAATGTCGTTGGTTATCGTTCGTATTTTTTTAATTTAATTAATTTCTAATTTATTTTTTATTTTATTATTTTAAAAAAGTCTATTTATAAGCTTTTTGTACTTAACTGTTACATTTTATATATAAAAATACACTTTATACTAACGAGTAAGCACAAGTGTTGATTATGTGAGTAGTAAATTTCGGTTGCTTGTGTAATTTAGGGATGGGCATTTTTTTTAAATTTCGATACTTTTCATGTTATTGATATTATTAAATATACGATTATCAATATTTTTGTTATTCACGTATACTTCTGGCAAACTGGATCAGAAAATAAAACTGTTAAGAAAAGGAGTAAAATATAAATTCAACAAGCTATTATGCTATTCTCGATATTTTAGTATTCGAGATTGATATCCATTATTTTCATGATACAAAATTTTATGCCAATTGGTTTAAAAAAAATTATGCCCTTTGGATACAAAATTTTATGCCAATTGGATAAAAGTCAACAAAATAATGCTTACATTTTGGTAAACGTAAATGGTTACGGAATTATTGCTATAAAATCAGATTTTGACAGAGAGACCATTTGTACCATTGAATAAATTCTAAAACCTTCTATTATATCTAATTTTTCTATTAAACTGATGATATTTTTCTATAAAACTATGAAAAATCTCATTTCAAAATTAGTGTAACTAGTGGTGTTTTTTTTTCACAAATCGGCCGTGTTTGAAAACTAAATATCTTTTTATCTCTCTCTATAAATCTAGTATCGAATTTTGATAGAATCGAAATCGAAATTACCCATTCCAAAGTGTATATGTGAGGATTAAACTAATATTTAGATATAGAAAAACTGTTTACTGGAAATCAATATATGAAAGTTATTTATTTTTATGCGAGATTGAATGTTTAATTGAAATGTAAATAATGTCTGTTTAAAAGAATTTATACAAGTGCTGGCAACTTGTTTATTTATTGCTTATATATGGATTAACACACGATAAACATACAATATAAATATATATATATATATATATATATATATATATATATTGTGTGGCACAAGATGTTATAAAATGCGACAAAATTTTAAATATATATAAGTGTATTTTATATAATTTTATTTCAATATCTATAAGATTAGAACAAATCACAAAATTTGGCAAGAACATATATAAATATAGGAACAAATCTATGATTGTATTAAAAGCTCTCTGTTATTGATGCATACACTTGACAATCACATTATGAAAAATATATTGATATTAATACCATAGTTATATAATATAATACGAAAACTATTTGTGTAATATTTGGACACCATTTGGACGCTCGGGCACGGCGACAAGGAACGTTGTTTAAATTTAAAAAAAAAAATTAGGAACGTTCATATATTACGTAAGACGGACATTTTCACATTTTCCGAAGTTTTTGAAAAAAATATATCTGTATAGTTCGAAAGTTTTTAACGTCGCACCTAATGGATGAACGTCCCCAGAATAGAAACATGTGTGTTATAAAAAATGAATCTGTTGTGATTATCGATGTTAATATATATTTTTAAATTTCTAGGTAGTTGAAAACGAAATATATGAAATATTAAAATTAACTCATATGTTGCAGGTTTAA